AACCTTATTCTAATCATAGTATTCTATACCCCCAAACCTTATTCTAATCAATAATATTCTATACCCCCAAACCTTATTCTAATCATAGTATTCTATACCTCCAAACCTTATTCTAATCAATAATATTCTATACCCCCCAAACCTTATTCTAATCATAGTATTCTATACCGCCCAAACCTTATTCTAGTTATTGAGGACCCTATATCACTCTCGAATCTCGCATGAGCTCTGAGGATATTCCTGCACACCAAGCGGAGCCAGGAAGAGTACTACAACTTCGCAGAGGTCCAGGGGCCCCAGTGCAGGGCTTCACGTTTCCGGTGCAAGTAGCAGTTTAGGTGAGGTGCTCTCAACAAGTTTCAAAAAAAGGGTTTGGGCATAATTTCGGGTTTCGAACATTGGTGTGTCCATTCTCCCACATGCAAGCCGACTTAGAAGCGATTTTTCCGGGTTTGTTGTATGAGTGCCGTGCTGCGTGAGCCCCAACCTTAAGCTCCCAAACCCCAGGAAACCCGCTGCTGGAACTGTGGAGGATGGGGCACTAGGCTACCAGCCCTCGACCTTAAATGTCCCTAAATCAACGAGGAATAATTTCAAGACTGTGAGCTCAAAGCTTGCATCCTACATCCTAGACATGCCAAAGTTGAGCACCAAACCACGAAGCCCGAAAAACTTTAAACCGCGAGGATTTTCCCTACGACGACGATCCCATGCCCGGCCTGCTGGCAGACGAGAGGAACTTAGACTTTCCCTTGGACAAGGCAGGGGAGGGGTTACTATCAGGGCTACTCGAAAAAGTTGCCATTCGGTCTATCTTGCTTTTTGTTAGTTGTCGGAGCGGTAAACCCTAAACCCTAAACCCTAAACCCTAAACCCTAAACCCTAAACCCCTGGTGGCGGGGGTGGCAGTATTGGCATCGGCTCGGGGCCGTTCATACCCGCAGCGGAGAACCTCCCAGCACGTGCAGTTTAACCGTTGGCCTGCATCCATGAAGCTTCAAACCCCAAACCCTAAATCCTAAACCCTAAACCCTAAATCCTAAACCCTAAGCCCTAAGCCCTAAACCCCAAACCCTGAATCCTAAACCCTAAGCCCTAAGCCCTAAACCCTAAATCCTAAACCCTAAGCCCTAAACCCTAAATCCCTAAACCCTAAGCTGCAGCGACCCCAGGACCCGAAGCTGAGCTTTAGGACCGTGAGCTCCTTCGTAGCGACAGAGATGTCTCGGATATTTGCAGCTGCGAAAAAAGGGGGTTTTCCGAAAATAGGGGACCCTGACATAGTACCCCAAATAGTAGGATCCTTATGATATAAGGACCCCAATAAGGTACCCCTTATTTCGGAAACTCCCAAATGACGACATGGAGACAGTTCATGGCACAAATGAAGTTTGCAAGACGTAGAAGTTATGGGATCAAGACATGAAAAGTTAGAAAACTGGCGAGCAAGGGAAAGAAATAGAAAACTGCGAGGCATAAAGCCAACAAATAGAAACACACAGGCAGCAGAGTAAACATAGGCACACCGAGAACCGCCGACAATGGAACATAATCCAACAGACAACGGCAAGAGAAACCTGGAACACCGAAAGCAGTGGACCACAACTAGAAAACTAGGAACAGTAGAACACACAGAAATTCACAAACAAAAACATTGAGCGCACACACACACACACATTGAAAATTGAAAGCAAGCAAACTAACTTCATTTCATTTTTCGTTTTCGCTCTAATCTTAATCATGCCCTGCCTTACAAGTGTTCACGGTCTTAAGCTTGATCCGTAAACCCTGAACGCTTAAACTCATAAACCATAAACCCTTAAATCCTAGGCCCTAAACCCTAAACCCCTAAACCCCTACACCCCAAACCCTAAACCCTTAAAGCCCAAACCCTTGGACCATAAGCCCTACACCCCAAACCCGAAACCCAAATCCCTCCTCAGGGGCTTGAGCCTGTTCTACAGATAGACCCCTAAAGGAGCCCTTAAAGGAACCCTTAAAGGAGCCCGGTTATGGTTTAGGGTCCGAAACCCGAAACCCTCTTCAGAGGCGCAGGAGTACATGCAGCTCTTTCTGGGCGCCCTGGGTGCTTCGCAGCGGGCGAAGGTGACGCGAAGCGACGAAGAGCTGGGACCGGCGGCCGCCGCGCTGGACCTCTAGGGTGCTATAAGTTTAGGGTTTAGGGTTGAGGGTTTAGGGCTTAGGTTTAGAGGGTTCAGGAGTTGAGGGTTCAGGGTTTAGGGTTTAGGGTTCAGGGTTTAGGTCAGTAGTTGAGGGTTCAGGAGGTTATGGTTTCGGATTTAGGGTGCAGGGGATAAGTGGTTACTTTAAGTGCTTTTCGTGTTTGTAAGGGTTGCTGTAGGGGCTTTCTGGGCCAGTCGGGGGGGTTTGCCATTATACTGTAGCCTTTCCACAATAAGGTTGCTACCAGCCACGGTTCTGGATTTAGGGTTCAGGGACTTTGGGTTTAGGGCTTCAGGGTTCAGGATTTAAGGTTTAGGGGTGTTGAGCCTGTTTTTGGGCGTCTGGTTTTGCTTTGGAGACGGATGTAAAAGGTTTTGATAGTAGTGGTTTTAATTCAGGACACCCGCGGGCTTCCTTCAGAGTTTCTTATGGAGCTTTAGGGGGTTGGGGTTTTGGGGTTTGGGGTTTGGGGTTTAGGGTTTAGGGTTTAGGGTTTAGGGGTTTAGGGGGTGTAGAGGTGGGATATACTGTTGGTTAGTGAACCGCCTTTCGCACTAAACTGCTCCTATAGTTCTGACGGAAGGGGGCCTACCAAGGGGTCTGTATTAGAGGCAGTCGGGGTTGGCATCTTTGCAGGGATTGAAGCATTTTGCCTTTTAGAGGCCTCCAAGATATTTGTGGCTCAGCCCTTTGCAATGATCGATACAATGTTGTGCTCCTGTACTTTGTTTGCTTAGTACGCCATGCGATCCAGCATTGTCATGCATGCGCTGCCAGAACCCTAGACCCTAGACATCACGCTGATTATCACCGCTTGTGAGCAGGACGCGTCGGACATCTCGCGTCAGTTCCAGGACAGGGACTTTGCACTCACAATCAAATTTTGAAGCCTAAATAAAGACCAATATCATTCCTTCGGCCCTTAGGGTTCCTAATTATAGAATTATAATATACTCTAAAGTACCCCCAAACCCTATTCTGATCGTACAGGCCCCTACGCTAGACCGAGGCGGGCAAGGCTTCGACGAATGCGTGGACATGCATGTGTCGATACTACCCTCACCCCCGCGCCCTCCCCAAGCAACCCCCAACCAGCAAACGCCCGAAATAGCAGGAAAACACCAGGCATTTGGCTCATGCAGCCACTCCTTGCTTCCGCCATCATGGCTTCCGCCATTCTCGTATTGCGTCATTGCTGATATTGGCTTGCTATGTTAGTTCCTTATCTTGGTGGTTAGATATGATTCACTTCAAGTCCCAGTGACTCGGGACGGAAGCGGGTTGTCCCCCAAAGTAGTACGGCACCCTTATAAAAAGGACGCTAAANNCCCCCCCCCCCCCCCAATTTAGAGAAATAACCAAGTGGAGGACTTGGTGTGGGATCTCGAGGAAGTGGGCCTGCGCAACTGGCTGAAGATGGACATCCAGGTGACTCTGGGGTTTAGGGTTTCGGGTTTAGGGTTTCGGGTTTAGGGTTTCGGGTTTAGGGTTTAGGGTTTAGGGTTTCGGGTTTAGGGTTTAGGGTTTAGGGATCTCGAACATATACAGCATGATATAAATAGAATAGAGTATAGTATAATGTAATGTAAGGTAGTGTTACATGCTGTAACATGGAGCTTTGTGGAATAGCGCCTGGGCTTAATGCTTCAGCGTCAATGTAGAACTGACAAAAATCTTGGATCGAAGATGGCGGCTGCTGCTGCTATCCCTACGACGACAAAGACTACAACTTCTGATAATCCTATGTGCTACTATATATATGTGTTTCTATGTGTTACTAGGTGCTTCCACTGCACCGAGACACCCTAAACCCTAAACCCTAAACCCGTAAGCCTCATCTTTCTGTGTGGGAGACGTGCAGTCGCGGACAGGATTTGGGGTCACAGCCTGTCTGATTCCTTTGGTCTCGGCGGTCTCGGCAAGATGGTGATGATTACCACTGTAGGCATAGCTTAAAGTGAGTCTGTGGTGTTTAAGGATAGTTTCAATTATGGGCATTTCCTCGAGAAGCAACCCCATGTAGACCTTCAACAGCAGGACTCTGTTGAGGAAGACATCAAACGAGCAGTTGTGTGAAGACACGGCGCCACATCGCTGCTAGAGACAGAGCCAAGCCACGCACAGGCACTTTCTGGAGAGGGGTATATCCTTGAAGACAAGTAGGGCTTTGCGCCACGCTGGGTCTAGCGGATCTGCAGGAAGGAGTTTTGGCTCTCGTGCTGGATCACTCCTCCGATGCCTTGGTCTTGCAGGTGGCAGCTAGTTCTCGCGGCCTGAGAAGAGCAGTGCAACAGTGCAGGCAGATCAGGAACGAAGGCCCGTGGCGACATCCATCCTAAACCCTCAGTCCTGAGGCCTGAAGCCATGCAACGCTCAACTTCCGAGGCCCAAAGCCCACAGCCCCAACTTCATCCAAGCCTTGCGTCCCTACTGCACCGGAAGCCGAAATGTTACAAGTTACACCAAAAAAGAACCTACTATAGATCCCTTATAGAACCCTTTAAAGAACCCTCTAAAGGAACCCCACAAAACCCCTAGCAAGAACTCAAGGGGCGGCAGGGTCGAAGCCGAAAAGAAGGCCCCCGAAGATGACTCCATCGCCGTAGTCTTCCGCAGAATCACCGAGAAAGTCCTTGCCAGGAGCTGGAGGATAACCTGCCTAAAGGGGAGGTGGCGCAGCTGATTCACTCGACAACTTCAAAGCCGCATGACTGTCACAGGGGGGGGGGGGTAGTTTCCTAAACCCTAAACCCTAAACCCTAAACCCTAAACCCTAAACCCTAAACCCACGTTTGGTGCTTTGTGGTCTTTTGAGTGCTCGGAGGCTTCGGGTTCCGGGAAGCCCACAGCTCAGCCCGAAACGCCCATCCTGAGCCCTGACGCCGGTGAATGCGTTTGTCTAGGGTTTAGGGTTTAGGGTTTAGGGTTTAGGGTTTAGGGGTTATACAGCAGGCTTCAGACGTTAGGGTTTCTCGTTGTTTGCCGGGGTTTTGGGGGGCGTTCGGGGTCTGATTTTGGGATCCTGGACCCTTTCAGTGGTTCTAGAGGGCCGAGACCAGGCACATTCCTGACATTTCGGAGCATAGTCTTCCGTAGCGTTGTAAAAGTTTCGGAGCTTGTAGAACAGATGCAAAACAGAGTGCACAGGTTGCAGTGTCAGGCCCCCTTGAGGATGGTACAAATTTAGAGTACTGAATAACATAACGTGATGTAGTATGACATAGTGCCATCAACCCTAAACCCTAAAAAGCCCCAATGAAATGTGCTCTTGTTGGAAGTTCCTTGTACAAGAGCCGAAAAATCTGTCGCGAGTTCCCTCCCCTGGTCCGACGGACATACCGCTTTACGGCTCAGGGGATTAGTGTTTACTGTGGGGCCTTGATAATTAGAATAGGTTTTTGGGGGTTCCTTATTAATTATAACTATAGT